GCAGACTAGCCAAGAGCCTTTCCATCCCACAGCCTGTCTTCCAGGAGTTTATTGTAAATTGGGCTCTGGAACGGGCAGCCAGTGTGAAATTTGGCATGTACACTGCTGGCTTCAATGCATCATTAAATAGGCATTTTAAATGTGTTAATTCCTCCTTTTTCAATTAATTGCTTTTAAAGCTACATTAATGTGCATCAAAGCAAAATACCCTTTGCCCTAGTTTCTGCTTTACCATACATGTTTCCTGGCCTTGGTGCTGTCTTTTCCAAGACTTCTCCCCTTCCCTTTTCTTATTCTATTTTTTAGTCCATAGCACAACAAAAACACTCATGCAGAAAGGAAAGAAATTAAAACCCTTCAACAATGTAAAGCGGAGTCCAAGTCCTAACAACACATGGCTTCTTAATAGCCTTTTTCCATCAATAGTTGTTAATTATTTTACAAAAGAGGGAAGTGGCATTGTCCCTTGTGCAGATGGGGAAATCTGAGGCACAGAAAAGGGAAGAGACTTACCCGGTGACCAGCGGCCTGCCAGGGCAGATGGCAGCAAGGTTCAGGTTTCCTAAGCCTCCACCCAGCCCCATACCCGTGGGACTACATGGCTCCCCGTAAGCGTATTCCTGCCGGAGCAATAGGCTACGCGTAAGTGCAGCCAGCCAGCCCTTGCAAGGGGACTAAATGCAGATCACGACTGACTCACATCCTATAGGAAGGAGCCACAAACCACGTACGTGGTGGAAAAGCAGTCTCAGAAATGGGAAGAAGAACAAGTGGAAGCATAATGGGAATAAGAAGAGATGGAAGGGGAGAGGTAGGACTAACCTCCAGCTCGGGAGAGGGGAGAACAGGCGCTGCTGGACCAGATACCCCAGACTCACCGTCCCTACGGGTCTGGATCGCACGCAGCACCAGCTGCGCACGTATGCGCAGAGACAGGGGATCGTGCAGATGCATTACTGGCCTGCTCTGGAGACGTCTGGTTTACTGATATCTGCTGTTACGTGATGAAGTTCTGTGACTTTCTCTATCGGAAAGAAAGCAGAAGCCACCGAGGGTCCTGGGAACCAGCTCCTGCATCTCTGCCAAGAGTACACCTGGCAAATCTGCAGCACGGCAGTTCTTCCAGCAAACCTCACATCCAGGCTTGCAGTGGTTGAAAAAACAGTCCCGCTTCGGTTTTGCCTGGTTATTCTCAGTCAGCTCAAGGGAGCACCTTCTCGGAGGCAGCTTCAACCCACGCTGGCACAGAGGGCACGAGGAGATTTCACTCCTACCTCAGCAGACTGAGCTTGCCTGAGCCCTCCTGGCTCTGTTTGGCAGCAGGAGCCCAGGACTATGTGCACTGCAGCAAAGTCACAGTGGGGAAAAAGATACTGAAGTGGGGGAAAGCAGGCAAGAAAACAACCTTCTGCACCCCAGCTTGAAAAGAAACACCAGCGTTCAAGGATATGAGCAATGTGAGGTGCGTAAGAAAAGGTCGTATCTTTTATTAGACCAGTTTTAGTTGTAAAGCTGCTGCTTTTGAAAGGCACGCTGCCCAAAGCACGTCTGTTTTCTCCAGCTACAACATGCTGGTCTAATAGAAGTCATTACCTTCTCCTTAGAAACCAAAACCCACTTGGTGCAAGGCTGCAGTGATCCTGAATGGGGTAAAGGGGCCCAGCTCACCCCACATCTGGGAGACGTCGATGAGGAATAAGAGACATGAGACCCACTTCTCTTCGGGGAGGAAAAACTCTGGGACCTGTTACCAGCATTGGCCACACCAATTACCGTGTTCAGAGCACAGATTACGACCCAAACAAAGGCCCTGGAAATGCCCAGGAATGGTGTTACCTTCTCTCCCCTGGGCTGAAGGCTGATAAACCCGATGTCACTGGCAGTTACTAGGGACGTGCTAAATTCACAGCACCACAGACCTGATTCTGCATCTCAGCTCCACCGCTGCTCCGAAACCAGCGGAGACCAACAGGCATCCACTGCCCGAGAGCGACATCCATTGCTGCTGTATTACAGTTACGTCCCTTGGGACAGTCAGGCTGGCACCCAAACCAAAACCCCTACCCTTTTTATTGAGGGTTTTGTGGAGCTCTTTACTGTGCAAAAATTAGCTCCGTCTGCAAAATCACCATGAAAAGCAGCCCGAGCCCTAGCCCTACTCTGATGAGTAAATTGAGCTCATCCCCATGCAGTGACTGCAACAACGTGGAATGGGGTAAGGGGTAAGCTAACAACTCCTAGGATGCTGTCTAAACAATCACCAGTGTATTTAGTAATACTGGGCTCACGTGGCACATCTCACCCAGTTTGCAAAGCTGCCCTAGATAAAGTATCAAACGACTTTGTCAGGCACTGAGTCAGCAGCACAGATGGAACAGCAAATTTCTCTCTCTGGCTCTGGTCACTGGGACACACGTCCTGCTACTACATGTGTGCCACCACTCCCGGACCCACATGTCCTGCCACTGCATGTGTGTGCCACTGCTCCGGTCCATGCACAGCTCACAGATGTGCAGAGACCTCTGGCTCTGCACCCACCGAGAGCTTGCAGAAGGGAGGAAGCTTGCAGAATAACCCCTGAGAACAGAGGATGTGCTGAGCAAGCAGGAAAAACACGGTACTGCTGGAAGTGAAGCGTGGGCCAGCGTCTGCAAGGATGAAGTAGAGTGGGGACTTGCCACCAGGACAGGCTGCATGATGTGTTGTTTTAGGAGGTCACATCAGCCAGGCAGAGGAGCTGATGGGAGCCATGGAGTTCAGCATAGAGCCTCTTGGAAGGGTCTTTATCAGTTGTTCTAGATGGTGATTTACACCATCAGAGCCCAGCGCCAAATTCAACTGTTGCTGGCATGCACGCAAGGAGTAGTTTTACACGTGTAAATAGCCCAGATATGCAAGTGTCCAGAGCTCATGGTCAAAGATCAGTCTCAGCTCTTTGCATTTGCTCTGGACCACCACATCCAGAACAGCTTCTCGTAACGTCGTGAGGCTCAGGGCAAAGTACAGATCAGCTGCAGGAGCTTTACCATGACCTTAACGTCTACAAGCAGTTTATAGACTGGTCTGAGGACGACTGCTCAAGAATAATGCCAGAAGACTGCTATTAATCCAATTTCCCAAGCTGCAAATGCAGATACGTGAAAGACTGGTGGTCCTACACCCCAGACTTGCCTTCTGCTCCCAACCACTTGAACAGCACTGAGAACATCCCAGTCTGGCAATAAGCTCCATCAAACCCATTCTGGAAAAAGCCCCTGTTAGTTTTGAGCGGCTAATCCCAGCTCCACTTAGGCTCTCACCAGTCAAGGACATCACATTTTTTTCTTCCAGACTCTGAAATTACAAATGGCTCCACTAAAAGCATAATCTTGTCTTGCTGAATTGTATCTCACAGCTCTCTCTCTCTCTTTCATTAACAAATGTTTTAAGGCCCATAAAATGCATGTAATTCTTGGAAATGTGTCACAGATCAAGAAGCAAATGCAGCCCTTAAACTCACCAACTAATGCCTCGAGAGCGGCTTTGCCTATTAGAAACAAATAGCTGAGACAATACGAGGTTTTCCAGTGAGAGGCAGAACATAACTGCTGATGGAAATAACGTGCAGACAGAAAAGCCATCCTGGTCTCCTCTCGTCTTCAGAGAGAGATATTTTTTGTTTTGTGGCCAACAGTTTATTTTCCCCATCAGCCACCCAACCCAGCATCCCCCAACCACACTCTACGGCTCAGAGCCACCACAACACATCCCGGTGGCACCGAGAGCAGACTCCTGCCAGGTCACAGCATCGCCTCGTTAAGACACATCTCAGAGGGAGCAGCACAGATGGGACGTAGAAAGGCCATAGCACCTCGGAGTCATCTTTTCCAAGGCAACACACTAGCAAAAGCTAACAGAGCGCATTTGTCATGGTCTCCGAGTTCAAACATGGCTCATAAAAAAGAGCTGCTCCATTCCTTCCAGCATCAGCTCGCCATTCCTAATCAGCAGTCCCCGCAGGCCTCTCCTCCAGGAGATCCAGCACCTGAACTATCTCAAAGTTAAAGGTCCTTCTCACTCAAGAAGGACAGAGGGAATCTCATGTAAGGCCCACCAGTACTGTATGGACAAGAGAGGTCTGAATATCCCGGCACTCCCAAGCAAGAGCTTTCTTGCCCGCGTGTTATTTCAATCAGCTCCCGCAGCAATACAGCAAACCATCCCCATCACCCTGGGTAAGGATGCGACTTCTTTTTCGTTTCACTGACAGCTCAGACATCTCTGAAGCCCAGCCTGCAGCTGCATTAACCCTGGGTGCTCACAGAACTGGAGCTGGCATTGGCAGTGCAAGCCAGCTGCCCCCAGCATGTTTACCCAGCAAGATTTTCCTGCCAACCAGCAGTATGTCCAAGCTCGAGGTAAAATCAAATACAATTTACCCCGACAGAGCATGAAAGTAAATCCAAACAGGCACACAAGCAAGGGATTTCTCTTTGCAACAATTATTATATGTGCAGAGGGGACAATTGCAAGCAAACAATTTGCTTTGTTAAATGAGACTGAGACAAGGGCAGCTTTCCTGGGGAAGATTATATTAAAGAACCATCAGCAACTGATTCAAACCCTTCAAACACTGATATTAAACAGAGATGTGATAAATGAGAAAGGTCAAGTAAAAATCAAATCAGAGCATAGCATCCAGAAAAGCCAGACATGACCATCCCTAATTTGGCCTACAGGAGCTTCCAAATTGTTCTGGTGCATCTAATAGCCCAGTAAAAGCAAACCCACAACTATAACAGTTACAGGGAACGCTGATACGCTTCTGTTTCCCCAAAGTGGTCACCCCATCTCAGTGAACACCATCCAACACCGCTAAGCACTGCTTGATGGAGCCGGAACCACCATCTACACTGGTTTCAGTAGGCTCAGAGCCTCAAAGGTAGCTCTACACAAGCTAAGAGGATACCGAAACACAGACCCCCACACCCAGCTAGCATTCTGGGCCGTTGTCCCCTTACCTTTGAGAGATCCTCTGTCCCTCCCTGCTGGCTCTGGTTCAGGAGAGGCGAGTGCCGCATCAGGGGGTCCTGCAGCAGATCCAGACGTGGCCTCTTGGTTTCAATGAACTCCAAGTCTGACGGCTTGGTCAGGTCTGAGAGATAGGAATGCGCCTCGGTTCTCAGGTGCAACTCCTGAGATCTGGGGACAAAGAGAAAGGAGCCTTTAGAAAGCAAACCACCTCGGCTCTCCCCTGCTCTACAACTGCAAGCCACTCGGGGAGGACAGAGGGCTCAGTTTCTGCCCGTTTCCCAGAAGGATGCATGAAGGGAGGCCAGGTGGTCCCGGACTCAAACATCTCAGGTCTCTGCAGACCCAGGATGGACAGCTCCAGAGCTCGGTTGCTGGGCATGGTGCATCATCTCCTGGAGCCCTCGCTGCACGCAGGCAGAACCAGGCATCACCCGGTGGAGCCGGATGCGGGGTGCAGCATCCCCGCCATCCTCCAAGCCCAACAGGCCACCCTGCCGTCCCCCTCCTCAGCACCGCCGCCGTGTCGCCTGCAAAGCCCCGGTGCCACCCCCCATCCCACCACACGTGGTGGATGACTGTCCCTATGCCGGGCAAGGTGAAGGAGGCTGCAGGTTTGAGCCTTCCCCGTCATGCCACATGGGTCAGGTTGGCCAGAAAAAGCCAAAGCTCAGAAAATCCTCAAATCTGGCCCGTTAACCCCACTCTGGTCCCCAAGACCAGGCGGAGCTCCCTTCTGTAATGTTTGGCTTGTTTACTCAAAGGTACCTGCGCCACTGTTTATATTTAGTATCTTCTATAGGAATACCAAAGATTATATGCTGGGGAAAAAAAAAAGCATACTCCTCCGTGGCTAGACAGTAGGGATTTATTTTTCCAGGATGGGGGAGGAAAGAAACCAGCCACATGAGGTTGCACGTCTCTGACACAGACCTGGCAAGCTGTAAAGGCACATTATCCAGTGACAGCAACTGCACCAACGAGTCACATTGGGCTCAAATATCTTTAATCTGTTAAATATGATGTAGTTGGCAATACCTGGAAATTGGGTTTGGTTTTGGTTTCTTTTAAACAAAATGTAAAACTTTTTTTGTAGCTCTATTTTTCCTAGCAGGATTCTCTTGTGGGAATTGTAAAGGGATCCCACAAAAATACATTAAACCTTTTACTATGCCCAAGGATCAGTTTTGCTGCAGCAGCTCCAAGGGTGTGTTTTTCACACTTCAGGCAGAAGTGCCTCTTAAAAAAAAAAATAAAAATAAAATGAAGCACAGGAGATTCAAACCTTGGAAAAAAACATGGCTTTTTGTCTTTTCCCCTTAAACAAGATTGTTCAAGTTCTCCCGAGCTGCGCAGTGAAGTATCCTCCCCGGTTACCAAACACCAACAAACTAAACAGCCTTTGAAACTACCCAAAGGGGAGGAAGGGAAGGGATGTGTTTTGTCAAGAGCAAGCATAAAAGACAGGGGGTCTTGTGCATCGTTTGGCCCCGACTCACAAACTGCAACTGCTGATGTTTATTTTTGCTTAGCTAAATATCTCGGAGAGGATGACAAAGAGGGAAGGACCCAGAGCCCTTTGAAGCCAGCGGCAGGCTTTCCAGCAGCCGCAACGGCTCTGGACCACATCCAGAGAGAGGAGGATCCCCAGTGAATGCCAGCTTCTCAGGGGGCACCACCTCGGGCAAAGCCCTCTGCCCTCCCCTGCAGCTGTGTGGCAAAAGGAACCCTGCTCCAGGGAAGCAAGATAAAGGTGGTTTTCTTTTTTTTTCTCTCTCTTTTTTTTTTTTTTTTAATTTAAACATCAACAGCAGGCACCAAGCATGTGCATGCCAAACTCTGCTGCTGTGGGTTTGGCACAGGTGGCCGGCGCTGTGATTCGGGCAGCAGCTTTGCTGCTGACACACAGAAACAGAATCTGGCTCATCCTCTTCCTCCTCCCCAGCAAAAAGGGGACGGGAGAGCGGGGAGGCTCTGGCACTGCCTTTGCCACTCCAATCTCCAACCTGCGAGAGCGCGAATGCACAGCTCACGCAGCAAACTTTTCAGAGCAGAACAGCTCTTAAATCTGGCATTGAAGCACAGCTCGCTTCACCTGCAAACACTTTCACACTGAATGATCCTCAACTTTTCTCAGCAAGCCCAGAAATATCTCCTGGCACTTCTCAGGTTTCCTGCTGGCTCGTCCCAACCCCTCGTGCAAACCCTGCAGCTGCTCACCGACATTTCGGGCTCTGCTGTAAAACCCATGAACAATAAGCTACTGTTGAGCTGGGCAGGTGCTAAAATATTCCGACACCCAAGGCTCTGCTGTACCAAAGCAATTAAAAATCAGATGTATTTATTTTCACTTCTTCCTCCTTTTTTTTTTTTTTAAGGCTGTATTACCAAGAAGTTGCTAAGTGACACAGGACAGCACCAAGACCTCTGCAGTTGTCAGGAGCCCAACACAACCTGACACAACTGCTACGCTCAGAAAAACACATATTTTTAAGATAAGAGCAACACTCAGCTTTACAACGGCAGTTACTTACAGCAAGGCAGGGGCCACGCTGGGGAAAGCAGCTGCAATGTTATAGAGTGCTATTTTATTTCCATTTCCACATCTATTGGAACTGCTATTAACTTTATCCACTGGAATTTCCAGCCGCTCCCGAGATCACTTTGCCCAACACAACTTGCTGAGCCTGTCCTGACTGAAACACAAATGCTCTTGCTTGAAGCCTTCACACCTTTCACTCTCTACATCCACACCTGCAGCGAGCTCTTTACAACAGACTTTTATACAGCGATGACATTGCTGTCAGCATAAAAATAGCCCTGCCTGAAAAACCCTCCCATTACACTGAGTTTGGGGTTTCACTGCATTTTCCAAACAGTTCCCATCTGGTCGGTTTATTCCAGAGATTCCTACTTTGCTGAAGGGAAAG